GAGAGCACAACCGTGATGCTGCGGTGCTGGGAGTGGACAGAGCCCCAGAAGTGCTTATAATGCTACCAGACGGGTCTGACTGAAAGCCTTGGGTCCCCCTGGCCCTGGCTGGAGACCCCCGGCAGGCGTTTCTCCCTTCCCGCGGCTGTGCTGGCTCATTTGCAGCAGGGGGGTTATTATTAGCCGAGCCTTGACCCCACAGGTATGTTGGCCCTGCATCCCAGTAGCGAGTACTGGCAGCTGAAACTGTGACTCACCGTCCCCTGCGTCACCCTGCCTTCCTTGTCCCACCGCTGGCACCTCACCGGGGAGCCCAAAGGAGGGCTCTGGGGTGGCACAGGGGGGGCTGGCGTGTCCCCGTGGGCGTCTGCTGCTGGCGGGATCCCTGGGGCAGGTATTGCTGGGTGGGAGGAGGGAAATAAAGCAGGGACTGGAAGAGGGAGGAGGGATGGAGCCTGCAGCTGCACCAGTTTTTCCCCTTTGCAGCTGGGCTGTGTAATCTTTGAATGCCCGATTTCCACTTAATCTGAAGGAGTGGTCCCCGACCTTTCAGGGAGGGGGGGGGGAAAATCCCCTCCCACACAGGAGTGGGCAGCCACTGCCCTTGGCAAACACTGAAGAATCATAGAATCTTATATAATCTTATATCATAGATCGAAGGTCTCTTAGAAGGGACCTTAAACATCACCCAGTGCCACCCCCAGCCCCGGGCAGGGCCCCCTTCCCCCAGCCCAGGGGGCTCCCAGCCCCGTCCAACCTGGCCTTGAACCCTTCCAGGGAGGGGGCACCCACAGCTGCTCTGGGCACCCTGGGCCAGCGCCTCACCCCCTGCACAGGGAACAATTTCTGCCTTACATCTCACCTAAATCTCCCCTCTGTCAGTTTAAACCCATCACACCTCATCCCATCCCCACCCCCTGACCCAGAGTCCCTCCCCCCCTCTCCTGTCCCCCCTTTAAGCCCTGGGAGGCCGCTCGAAGGGCTCCCCGGAGCCTTCTCTTCTCCAGGCTGAACCCCCCCAACTCTCTCAGCCCGGCCCCCCAGGGGAGCTGCTCCAGCCCCCCCAGCATCTCCGTGGCCTCCTCTGGCCCCGCTCGAGCAGCTCCGTGTCCTTCTGCTGTTGGGGGCCCCCGAGCTGGCCCCAGCACTGCAGGGGGGTCTCCCCAGAGCGGAGCAGAGGGGGACAATCCCCTCCCTGGCCCTGCTGCCCCCCCTGCTCTGGCTGCAGCCCAGGGCACGGGTGGGTTCTGGGCTGCGAGCGCACGGGGCTGCCTCACGGGCAGTTTTCCCCCCCCAACCCCCCCAGTCCCTCTCCCTGGGGCTGCTCTCCAGCCGCCCCTCGAGGGCCCAGCCTGGGTTTGTGCTGGGGTTTGCCCCGACCCACGGGCAGGACCTTGCCCTTGGCCTTGTTGAACTCCCCGAGGTTTGCCCGGGCCCCCCTCTCCAGCCTGCCCAGGCCCCTCGGGATGCCACCCCTGCCCTCCCGCGTGTCCCCACACCACACAGCTCGGTGTCACGGGTGAACTTGCTGGGGGTGCATCGATCCCACTGTCCGTGTCCCAACAAAGATGTTAAACAGCGCCGGGCCCAGCCCCGACCCCTGAGGAACGCCCCTCGTCCCTGCTCTGCCCTTGGGCATCGAGCAGCTGACGGCAGCTCTTGGAGTGCCACCAGCCAGCCAGTTCCTTATCCCCGCAGTCAAACCCCCGTCTCCAATTTACAGACAAGGTTGTTGTACCGGACGGTGCCACAAGCTTTGCCCAAGGCCAGGCAGACACGTCACTTGCTCTTCCCTCACCCACCAGTGCTGTAACCCCACCGCCCAAGGCCACCAAATTCATCAGGCGGGATTTGCCCTCAGTGAGGCCGTGTCGGCTGTCACCCATCGCCTCCTTATTTTCCATGTGCCCCAGCAGTTTCCAGGAGGATCTGCTCCCTGACCTTGACAGTCACAGCGGTGACCGGCCCGTAGTTCCCCAGGTCTTCCTTTTGTCCCTTTTTAAAAACGAGGGGTTATGTCTCCCCTTTTCCAGTCGGCAGGAGCTTCACCGGACTGCCACAACTTCTCAAATATGACGGACAGTGGCTGAGCCACTTCATCTGCCAGTTCTCCCAGAACCCACAGATGCATCTCAGCAGGTCCCACGGACTTGTGCACCTTCAGGTTCCGGAGATGGTTTTGACCCTGAGCTGGGGAAATGTCAGCATGGGGTGGCCCGGGACTTCGGGTGCCTCCACACCCCTGATGCTGGGTGGGACCTTTTGCTGTGAATGCTTGGGGATTTGGGTGAGTTTTGGGTGTGATGGCTGCAGAGTGCTTCCCCGCCCTTGGGGCAAGGCTGGCTGCACCCAAAACCAGCTGGGCGTGAGCCTGTCACCCTGGCTCTGGGTGCTGGGTGGGCACGGGGCACCCGTGGGGAGTCAGGTCCCGGTGGGGCGAGTGGGGGTGCAGGACTGCTTGCCCAGCTGCCTCCATAGTCCCAACAAAACCATTCTGGCATGTGCCTCCTCCGTGCCTCAGTTTCCCCTTTCACATTGCAGGCTTGTGCCCTGCCTCCTCGCAGCCCACCCTGGTGCCCCAACTGCGGGCTCCAGCGGGGCGGCTCCCGGGGGGGTTCGGGGTAGTGGGTGACCTGGGAGGCGCAGCCGGCCCCCCCTCTTTGCCCGCGGGGTCTTGCCAGGCCGGCGGAGCCGGTGCAGGAATGCGGGGCTGGCTGGGAGGACCTGGCTCCTCGGGACAGGCGGTCCCCGCTGCGGGGGCTCGCGGGGCGGTTCGTCCCCTCGGCAGTGGGACGGGGCGAGCGGAGCAGGGCGGCACGTCCAGCCCCACCGGGACGACACCATGGAGCTGCCGTGGGTGCTGCTGGTGCTGGCCGGGACGGGCGCAGCCGCGGGCCTGGGTGACTCCCCCGGGGGGGGGGACAGGGGCTCGGAGGGGCTGCGAGGTCTTTTCCGCACGGGTGTTTGCAAGGTGTTTATGCCAGGGAGGGTGTTATGGGTTCGGGCACGGCTGGGTGGGGTCCCCACACCGGTGCTGGCACCCCGTGAGCCCTCGCTGTGCCGGCACCGGCGCTCGGGACCCTCAGTGTGGGTGCGGGCTGGGGTCAGGCGCTTGCTGAGCGGCGCAGAGCACGGGGGTCCCCCCCGCTCACTGCCCCCCACCCCCCAGCCCTGCTGCCCTACGTGCCCCGCGTGCCCCCCGCGGCACTGCCAGGGAAGCTCACCGCCACCACCTTCGCGCTGGAGAGGCCCTGCTGCATCTTCGACCGGCACGCCAACGCTTCCGATGCCGTCTGGCTGGCGGTGGCTTTCGCCAACGGTGAGCGCCCGCTGCTCGGGCACACGCTCCCCGCCGCGACGGGGGGGACGGGATGGGACGTGGGAGACCCTCACCACAGACACTCGCCCCCCCTCCCCCCCATCTGTGCCACGCAGCCTCGGCCGCCTTCAAAAACCCCCCATCCCGGGCTGACGTGCCCCTCTACGAGCAGCTGCCCACCGCCCGCTCCTACATGACCCTGGAGACGGCGGCGGCCACGTACGCCTGCTCGGCACCCAGCCCGGCTGTCCTGCGGGTTGGGGGTGACGCGGCGTGCGGGAGCCAGGGTGGCCGGGACCCCTGCAATGGACCCCTGCCCTCCCCAGGGCCCTACAGGTGAGGCTGGCAGGACGGAACCCCCCCAGGTCCCAGCTGGGGTAAGTCCCCATCCAGGGTGGGCTCGCCCCCGGTGTCACGGCTGTACCCATCCCGGCAGGGTGAAGTTCCTGGTGATGGGCTGCCACGGCCCCAAAGCGGAGACGAGGTGGTCCGAGCCCATCCTCCTGCGGAGAGGTACCGGTGGCTCTGCCTCCCCCCCGCCCCCGGCACCTGCCCACTTGGGGTGCCGCCCTGCGGCACAGCACTCTGCCATCACCCCCAAAACCCAGAGGCGAGAAGCCCGCCCCCACCCCCCTCAAGCTCCTCCTGGCCACCCTATCCCACCCCTTCCATCACCCCAACCCTGAAGCCCCCCCCATGTCCCTGATCCTGCCTCCTTCCAGCCCGCAGCCCGAGCACCATCGACCCCGCACCGGCACGCCGCGGCAGCGACGTGGTCGTCATCGCCTCCATCCTCGCCGGCCTGGGGGCCGTGCTGGCCGCGGTGGGGCTCGGCGCTCTGGGGTACGGGGGCTGCGCTGGGGGCGGGGGGGACACACACCCTGGAATCAGAGCCTTTTTTTTTTTTTTTTTTTTTTTTTCCCCCTTAAATCCGGGGTTTGGTGAGGAGAAAGGGCCCCTCCGCAGTGGTCGGGGCAGGGGGGGGCCCCACGGACCCCCCCACTTGACGCCTCTGCTTGTCTCTCCCCGCAGCGCCGAGGCGTGGGGGTCCCTGTGCCGCCGGGATTCGGGGACCAGCGCCTTCGCCCGCAGGTCCTACAGGACCCACCACATCCCCCCGGCCCTGCCGCAGCCCCTGCCCCCCGGCTGCGGGTGCAGCCCCCCGGGGCTGGGCTGCTTTGCCCTCCGGTCTCCTGGTCCGTGTCCTGCCGAGTAAATTCTCACTTTACACCTTCAGCTGCCTCCTCCTTGCCCGTCCCGCCTCTGCCTGCCGCCCTGGTTCACCAGGGCCCCGCTGCCGGCCTCGCAGGGCTGGAGATGTGGAGGGTGGGGGCACCAGGCCCCCCAAAAGCCACTCAGAGCCCCAGCTTGGGGGCACTTGGTGTCGTGGGGAGGGGGGCGGGGGGCACATGCTGGCACCCGTGGGGTCTGCGGGGACCCCCGAGGTGGGCCTCACCCTATGCTGGCACTCTCTGCCCCATTGCCTGGGTGAGGGCTGTTGCCCACCCGTGTCACGAGTGCAGCAGTTCTCAGCACGCAGGCCCTGGCCGTAGGAAACGCTCCCCCGGGGAAACGAGCCCAACCTGTTTGCCACGGAGGGGGGGGAGGCGGGGGGGGGGGGGGGGAGCCGCGGGTGGCGCAGGAATGTGGGCGGTTGGCAGCCACAGGCGGGTCCCGTGGGGACGCAGCACCCGGCCGCCCGCACTCCCGCCCTCGGCACCCCGGCGCCCGCACCATGGTCCCGCTGCTCCTCCTGCTCCTGGCGACGGCCCGCGGCATGGGTGAGTCCGCCCACACCAGTTGGGCTGGGGGGGGGTCCCCGCTGTCCCCTGCTTGTGGGGGTCCCCTGTGCACAGGCACTTGGACCCCCCCCAACCACCCCCGCCCCGAGCCTGGAGGTGCAGGGCAGTGGATGCCCCCCTCCTCCGTTTTGGGTGCCACCCTTAGGGTCCCTGGTGTCACCTTTCTGGGCACAGCGTGGGGTCCTCCGGGGTCTCGCAGGGGTGTCCCTCCCTGGGGGGGGGTGGGGGGGGGGCGGCACAGGAGTGTCTTCGCTTCCTCTTTTCATGAAACACGTCGTGTCTGAGCCCAAAACAGGGGGTGGGAGGGGAGCGGGGACCCCACAGCCAGGATCACAGGGGTCAGCTCCCTCCTGCCCCTGTCCCCACACCCAGCCCCCCGGCACCACTGCAGCCGGTCAGGGGTCGCAGCAGGGGGTCCCGACCCTCTGCCGCACCCCCCCCCCCCTTGGCTTGTCACCGCAGCCCAGGGCTCGTACAGACCCACCCTGGCCAGCCCCACCCTGGGGGCCCAGATCACCACCTCCACCTTCGTGCTGGAGCAGCCCCGCTGTGTCTTCAACATTCAAGACGACGTCGTCATCTGGCTGGTGGTGGCTGTCCCCGAGGGTAGGTGGGGTGCAGCAAGGCCCTGGGGGAGCAGCCCCCGGGCAGGGGCATGTTCAGGGCTCCCCCTGCCTACCCCCCCTGCCTACCCTCCTCACCCCTGTCCCCATCCCCGCAGCCGTATCCAACTTCAACAACAGCGTGGAGCCGGGGACCCCCGAGAGGGCGTTCCAGGGGTTCCCCACCAGTGCTCCCGCCTACATGACCCTCAACACCACCCTCCTCAACTACCCCTGCCCCAAAGCCCCCGGCGACATCACGGTGCTGCACGTCGGCATCGAGGCCAGCTGCGCCAGGGATGAGAAAAGACCCACCTGCAACGGCCCCCTGCCCGGCCCCGGGCCGTACCGGTGAGCCTGCTCATGGGGACGTGCCCCCCCCGGGCCTGCTGGCAGCCCCCCCGGCTCACACAACCGTGGCCAACGTCCCTTCCCATCCCAGGGTGAAGTTCCTCGCCCTGAAGGGCTCCGAGCCCGTGGCCGAGACAGCCTGGTCAGAGCCCATCACCCTGAGGACAGGTACCGCTGCTGGGGTGCTCGTCCTGCCCCTCGCACCCATCCCGCAGCCATTGGATTTGGGGGGGTGTGGGGTGGTCCCTGGGGGGGGGCTGCACGCTGAAGCACCAGCGGCTTGGGGTGCAGCGCTCCTTGTGAGCAGCCGGGGAAACTGAGGCAGGGCACCGCCGCGGTTCCTGCCTGGGGTGCGATGGCACAGGGTGTTTGCACGCTGCCTTTGCGCGGTGCAATTGCACGCCGGGACTGCCCACAAACGCACCGGGCCCCCGGCGCTCCCCTCCCGCTCTCTCCCCAGCCCGGCAGCCCGGCAGCATCCCCGCCAGGGGCAGTGGGCACAGCGCCGGCACGATCGCCCTCACCTCCATCCTCTCCATCCTCTTCGCCATCCTGCTGGCCGGCCTGCTGGCCATGCTGGTTTTTTGGGGGTGAGTGCCCATCCCCGCATCCCACCGCGCCACCCGGGAGCCGGGATGGGTGCTGGGCACGCAGGACCAGCGTCAGAGGGTGACACCGGCACCCCGTGATCCCCCACCCTCAGCCCTCACCCCGCTTCCCCTCCCCAGCTCGGAGGCCTGGGGTGGCAGCAGCACCTTCAGCAAGCCGGAGGCGGTGACGGTGCGGCGGTACAACACCCATCACGTCTACGACCAGCCGGCCGCCCGGCTCTGAGCCCCCGCGCCGCCCGCCCGCACTCCCACGGGTGCCCCGGCAATTGCACCACGGGTGTCGGTGACACGACGCCCGTCACCGGGGCACGGCCAGAGCTGCCCCGTGGACCAGGGCCCCGGCGAGCCGCGATGGAGCGGGGGATTAAAGGCTTTTCCACGCGCTTTGTGCCCTCAGCCTCCTGTTTGTGACCACCCCCCCACCCTGGAGACGGCACCCACCAAGACCTCACTGCCTCCCCCAGCCCCCCAGGAAAAGCCCTGTGGCCCCTTTCCCCCACGTGGGGCTCTGAGCCTCATCCCTGGGTGGGGGGATGCCCAGGGCAGGATGCAGCCAGGGGTGCTCTGGAGTGGGAGGAGCGTTTTCGCACCCAGCTTGGGGTGCCACCTGCACCCACTCTGAACAGGGAAAAGTCCCCCCGGGTGCGAGGCAGTGAGGGGAGCCTGACCCCCCACCAGCCCCGGCACTGGGGTGAGGGGCACAGAAATGCCCCCAGGAGTGGGTGGGGGGTTCATAGCGGGGGGGGGGGGAAGGTTTCTCTCTGTTCCCCTTCATTTATCCCTGACCCAAACTCGGAGGAGGTTCTCCCCCAGGGCAGAGCTGGCCCAATCCTGCCCGGGTGCTGCTGGTGTTCCCTTGCTAGCCACGAGATGGCAAGAGGGGACCAGCAGCCCGGGGCCTGATCCTGCACCAGGGGTGGAGGAGCCTCGTCCTGCACCAGTCTCCGATCCTGCTCTGGGGGATGTGGGGGCCCGATCCTGCACTGGGGCGGGGCGGGGGGGATGGGTCTGATCCTGTCCCAGAGGCTGTGAGGGTCCTGACCCAGCATTCCTGACCCTGCAGCAGCGTGTGGGTCCCTGATCCTGCTCTGGGGTCATGGGTGCCCTGATCCTGCAGCCCGGGCAGGATGAGACACCCCCCCCCCGGTGCTGAGGAAGAGAAAGCTGCAGAGCACTGCAGGGTGGCCGTGCCCCCCCTTGGAGTGGAGTCAGGGCAGGTACATATATACATCAGGTACATACACATATATGTATGCATATACATACATTAAAAGCCCATATTTTTTTCTGTAGGCGCCATGCAAAGGGCAGGATTTCTGCCCGATCCGTGGTCACAGCGCCCTTACCAAGGTGTCCCCAGTGTGTCCCCAGCGTGTCCCCAGCGTGTCCCCAGCGTGTCCCCAGCGTGTCCCCAGCGTGTCCCCGCAGCAGCCAGCGCGGCCCTGAGCCCCAGCTTTGGGTGCCGAGGCAGGTCTGGCAGGAGGGGCCCCCCATCCTCCCTCCTGTATTTATGGCACTAAGCCCTCCAGAAATGCCACCGAACCCTCGGGGGGTGCTGCAGCCGAGGGGCGGGGGCAGTGCTTAAAAGAAGAAGAGAAAAGCGAGCAGAAGGTGGGGATTTGGGGCACAGGCTGGTGTGGGGGAGCACGGGGCAGCAGGGACCCAGTGTGAGTCCGGTCCTTAATTGCCAGCCCAGGCCCGGCGGAACCGAGCGGGGGGTCCCGGCGGGACCCGGGGCAGCGTGGGGTGTCCCCGTCCCGCTCCTCTCCCGAGCGACGGCGCCTCGGCCCCGCCCACACCCACCTCGGCCCCGCCCACACCCTCCTCGGCCCCGCCCACGCCCGCCTTATCCCCGCCCACACCCGCCTCAGCCCCGCCCACTCCCCCTTCAGCCTCTTACCCCTTGGCTGACAGCAGCTACAGCCACCCAATCGCCGCCGAGGGAGGGCGCACGGCCCCGCCCTTTGTCCCGCCCCGCGCGGTGAGTGGCGGCGGCCGGAGCCGGCCCGCACATGGGCGCGGGGCCCGGTGACCGCCGGTTCGAGGCTGCCCTCGGCGCCGCTGCCCGCCCGCCATGGCCCGGCGGAGCGCGCTCTCCATCCGCATCGTGGAGGGCAGGAACCTGCCCGCGAAGGACATGTGAGTGTCCGGGGGGGGCCGGGAGCGGCTCGGGGGGGGGGCACTCCGGGGGGCAGCCCCCCTGCCCCAGGAGTGCTGTGGGGTGTGTCCCCCAGCAGGTCCCTGTGCTTTGGGGACACCCTCCTCCCCCCCCGAGGCTGGCTATGGGGTGTCTCTCCTGCTTTGGGGGCTCGCCCAGAATGGCTTGGGGTGCTCCCGGCAGTGCCGGTGTTTTGGGGCGTCCCTCCAGGATGGCTTTGGGGTCCCGTTGCATTGGGGGTCCCTCCCCCCCCAGCAGTGTGGGTGCTTTGGGGGTTCTCCCCTGGGTGGCTTTGAGATCCCTCTTGCTTTGGGATTTTCCCCTGGATTAGCTTTGAGTGCTCCCAGCAGGTCTCAGTGCCCTGAGGGCTCCCTCAGGAGTGCTGTGATGTCCCCTCTAATTTGGGGACACTCTCTAGGCTGGCTTTGAGGTTCCCTCCCAGGAGCACCCAGTGCTGTGTGATGCCCCTAGCAGCGCTTTAGGGTACCCCAACCAGTGCTCCCACTTTCCGGGGGCACCCCCTGGGCTGCCATGGGGCAGGGCTGCCTTTACCACGCACCCACCCTCCTGCCCCGGAGCTGGATCCTTTGTGGGGACCCCGAGACATGAAGCAGGACCCTCAGTACGGCCATCCCCCAAAAGGAGCAGGGAGCAGCCCCGCTGCCCTGGCCCCTGTCACCGCTCTGTCCCCAACCCTGGCTGAATCTCCGCTGGCAGCCCCTTGGGTCAGGCTTCCCCCCTCCTTGGCAGCCCCCCCAGGGCTTCTCATGTGTCCCAGCATTATTCTCCTTACTCTGATCCTTACGGGGTGGGATGTGGGGACAGCGTTGGGGTGGGACAGGGGGGATGGCATCGGGGTGGCCCCCAGCCACCAAGGCAGCGGGAGGCTGTTGAGGAGCGCTCGGCAGCCAGACAGGGTCAGAGCTGCTGGAAAACCAGCAAAAATCCCTGCAGCCGTCATGGAAAAAGAGGATAAACAAGGAAAGAAACGTGACTTTTTTTTTTTTTTTTTTTTCTTTCTTCTTTCTTTTTTTAAATCCCATGTGTCAGGGCCTGATTTTTAAATCCCTTGGCATAACTCCCTGCCGGGAGCTCGCACCAGTGCGAGGAGGCTCTGGTTTTTAAGAGAGCTTGTTGCAGAAAGCTGCTGTGCGATAACGCTGTGAGCGGAGCTTTCCAGACCGCGGGTTTTGGGACACGGTTTTGGGCAGAGAGCGAAACCCGAGCGCCGGACCCGAGCGCTCGCTGGCTGCCGCCTGACCTTGGCCGTGTCTGGCCGCCGTCCCCCTCCCCTGCGGACGGGGGCTTGTGAGATCCAGTTCCTCTGCTCTGCCCTGGCGCAGCCTTTGGGATCGCCACCAGTTTCCCCCCCCGGGGGGGGGAAATCCCTCCGTGAGGTGTCAGTGGTGGCACCGGGCACGTTTGCAGGTCAGACCCTGCTTGCAAGCACCCATGGGTGATGGGGCACCCCCAAACCCCTGTGGGGCCCCCCAGCTCCTGCAGGATTCGGCACAGGGAGTCGCAGGAGCAGGATTTGGCTGGTGTTGCTGCGGTTTGTGGCCCCCCCAGCCCCCCCCTGCTCCCAGGAGCCGTGCCACCGGCAGCCCCCTCCTCTCCCCCGCAGCAGCAGTGTGATTTCAGTGGGGTTTAGCCCCGATGCCAGACTCCCCGGTCGCTGTGCCCGCAGGTCCCCCACCTCCTCCCAGTGCAGAAGAGCTGCTGTTTGGTTTTGCCTTCCAAGCCAGCGCCTGCACAGCGCGGGGCTGGGCACCGTGCAGCCATGAAACCATGAAACTGTCCATAAAGAGGCAGGAAACCCGCTCCTGCTTTTGCCCTCCGGCACGTCACGGCCCAACGCCGAGGCCAAAACCCGGGCAGGGGGGACAGGCTGCAGCAGCTCCAGCACAGCCCTGGCTGGGCTCTGCCCCTAGGACACAGTGGGAGCCTGAGCACCCTCCCAGCTGAGCGTTGCAAAATCCTCCCCTGCATCTTCATTGTCAGAAAGCAAGGAAAATTATCTTTATTTTATTTTATTATTTTATTTTATTGCCAGACCCCGAGGGCTGGGCAAAGCAGCGCCGCTATCTGCACCAGTGAATTTTTAATTGCAAAACTCAATGCCTCAGCCCCCAGTGCTGCCTGTCAGGATGGATGGCGGCGGGGAGCACGCATGTTTACTTCTTCCCCCCCCCCCCATCCCCAGTTTATACCGTGCTATCAATCTTTAAAGCTTCAGCCTTCATTTCCTCTTTTTAAAGCCCAACCTTCCCTTTTCCTAGCTCCTTCCCCTGCACCAGACACCCAGCCTCTCCGCCTGTGGCCGCCCGTGGAGGGGCGGGTGGCTGAAGCAAGCCGTGCTCTGCATGGGAGTCGGCAGGATGCCCAGTGCCCGCAGAGAGCCTGCAAGCCTTATAAATCTCTTCCCCTGACCTGTCCCGGGCACTGGTTTGCGTCCCGGGACGACGGTGCCATGCAGACGATGTCACCCAGTGGGATCCAGTTTGGAGCGGGGATTTATCCCCCACTGATGCAGCTTGCGGGCTCCCCAGCACCTCCTGCTGCCTGTGGCGAACAGATTTTGGCCGCCCTGTGTTTTAATCCCTGGAGCACACGACACCCGCGTACTGCAAGGGCAGCTTCATGGCACCCGGTGTCCCAGGGGACGTGGAGCCGCCCGTGTGCTCTAAACATCCCCGTGTTGGGGACAAGGGTTTCCTGCTGCTGGCACCGAGGGAGCTCCCGGCTGAAGCCTGCCCTGCGTTGCTGGGCACAGCTCGGGCAGGCAGATGTTCCCTTTCTGCCTGCGTGCTCCCTGCCCGCTTGATGGTTTGCGTAAGGCAGGAAATGTCAGCAACAGGCTCTGGTTTAATGGTGCTTCATCCACCGCTCTCATTAAAAGCCTCGCAGGAGGGTGGCTGGAGATGGGGGCAGGCAGGAAGCTGCTTTGAGCAACCTGCCAGCACTGCCAGCCCCAAATCCTCGGGATGCTGGTCTGGGGCGGGGGGGGGGGGGGATGCCACCGTGGTGCCTGGGATGCTCAACCCAGAGAGTTTGGGATCCCCCCCAAACCCTTTGAATCCCCCTCAGCAGCTGGCTCTCAACCTCCCTGGTTTTGAGACGGGAAAAATCGCTCTGTGCTTGGGGTCCCCAAACCCCCGCCCATGCGCTTCCTCCCTTTCTCCGGGACACTCGCGGCTGGCTGATGAATGCTGGCCGGGATCGACGT